TCAATAAATTTGGCCTGATGACTTATATAAACATAATTGATCATAGACTTTTTTGTTTTGCTGAAACTTTTATAAAGAGTCTCAAACTGAACTTTTAAAAAACATCTCAGGGTTAGGAAAGTCACACTAAAGGCACATCACAGATTTTGCCTAACAGATCTAGGTGAATTTCTCCCTTCTCAAGGTCTCCAAAATTCCCTGAGATTTCTGTACCTGTTAGTGAGACAGCCTTCCTGGTTTATCTGATAAAGCTACTGGAAACCTAAGAGTTTCCAGTCTCTGGGGGGGATCTAATAGAAAAGGCGAATGTTTCAATTTTGCTTATGGAACTATAATTTCACTAAATTACTCTAAATCATAACTAGAGGGGAAGGGATTCCTTACACATGGAAAACACGGATTCAAATCAGTAATTTTTTAGCTAGAAACCATAAAAGTTATAAGCATATTCACTCATTCATTCAGTCATTTTGCTAATGTTTTAGGAAGCAATCAGGTTTCCCAATAGAATCTTTTAATTTCCTTCCCAGTTCAGAATTATGGTTGAAAAGTCAGAAACCCAAAAGTCTTTCCTATAAATCTTCTTGAAGAGGAAACATTTTTGCAAAAGCAGCAAAATAAAACCATAAATGTCGACAATGACAAAAGACTTAAGAAGGGATGCTTAAAATCTTATTACAATGCATTAACAAAGAAATTTGGTTACTGCTGTGACAACACTTTAAGATAGTATCTAGAATTATGGCTGATAACATTTTCCCAGGACATACCAGAATTTTAGGAACTCCATATAATTTATAGGATATTTATATTAGTAATATTTACCACACAACATAACCTGAGGAGATTTATTACTCATTAGACAATCTGTCTCATGTAATCCAACATATCAAATGGACCTAATTAGCTGAATATCTCTCCTTGGGATGTTTCAGGGGCCCTTGAAGCATCCCAAAGTTAGCTAGAGGTCAAAATTGTTTCATTAGAATTTTATTTAGGAAGCTTTCTCAATAAATATCAAAAGGGCTTAAAATACTCAGATAGGATCATAGGTCACTATGAAACAATAGTTATTCACTCAGCCAAAGTAACAGTAAAAGATTTCAAAGGCAAAAACAGAACAGATCATTTATGAGGTAAAGAAAGTTAAAAATCTTTTATCAAAGGCAGTTCAATATCTGAAGAAAGCTTGTCCTCTTAGCCAAGAGAAAAGTCAAATTCAAGTTTTACAGAAACTTACTTTTAAATTTATTTACTTAATTAAATTGATTTTAAACTGAGTCAGTCTTGACCATGCACAAAACTCATTTCTCATGGTCCACTTTCCACAAACATTGTTATACTTTCTGTATTCATAATTTTATTTTCCCATTCAGAAATAGACACCTGTAAGTCAGACCTACTTCCTTTTCCCTTAACAAAATGCAATTTCATTCCTCACGCTTCTTTACTGTAAACACTCATCCTACTTTCCTTAAGCAACCACGAACTGTCCTTTGTATTAGCATTCTGTAGATTGGTGAATGTAAATACCAATGATAATTTCTAAAAACATTTACTTTCTTATAGAGAATATCTCAAGATGGAACCAAACATTATTCATTAATAGTCCAAAATCTCTTTAGTTTCTCTGTAAGAGGAAGGTAGTGTTCAGTAATTAATGTTTTGGGATCTTATTTTATTTGGAAATGACCTAGCTATTCAATAAACTTCCATCACTTAGTTTAGCACAAACCTAGAAATTAAAGTTACCCAAATCTGGAAAGACTATTTTAGACAGACATTCCTAAAGTATATTTTATTCTTCATAGGATTTATCTAAAAGTTCCTATCTCATTTACATTTCCTTTCCTTAAAAGTTTCTTCACTCAAGTTAATTTCCTTACTGACAAACTTGTAACAGATATAACTTATATTAAACCTAGGCACAATGAAAATGTTATGCTTAATATTAATGACTCAGACATGTCTACATTAATTAGATGAACAAACAAATATTAACACCAAGTATTTAATACTGAATATTTCCCAGTTCATGTGAACCTGAAATACATTTAGGTTAATTTCTCTTGTATTTAGAATTGTTTGATTTGTAAAGCAGAGTTAAGCAAAGGATCATTTTGGTGATTAGAGAATGATTCAGGTGTCAAGTCCAAATATTGCTTAAAATTTTTTCCCAATCTCCCATAATAGTCTGGATTGATTCATTCGATCTTCACTAGCATTGTTGAACCTTTGTCCAATTTATGGTTTTTGGAGAAAGTTCTGAGATAGGTTTGAGTAATTTCTAAGTTAATTCCTTCAGTACAAGCCTCTTGACTATGTGACCAAAATTCCATTAAGGGTCATTTCCAACCTGCTTTTTCTATTCATCGCCTTGCTTTGCTTTCAGAAACTAACAGCTGTATTAGCTGATATGGATCTGAAAACCTGGACTTGTAAGTCCAGATGGTTAATTCAAAATTTTCAGCAAATCCCAATGCATTCTGAGTTGGACTGAGAAATTTCTTGGCTAAGGCTCGAAGTTCTGTTTGCATCCTGGATGTATAGGAAAGCAACAAGGACGATTAATTTCTCCCTGTAATAGATTTCTCATTAAGGGAGCTATAATCATTTCTGATTTTTTTATCTTCCTTTTCTGGGAAAAGGGAAGCAGCAGGAGGGAGAAGAGTTGGAAGACAAAAAAGTGTCTGATCTAGGCAGTTCGAATAGAAGAGGATATATGGAAAGAGTAGAGGGAGAGGCAGAGTCAGTGCTAGCAGCCTTTTTTAGTTCTGATTATATCTTCAAGCAATTTCTTGTTGTTGTTGTCGTCATTGTTGTTGCTCAGTCCCTCAGTCGTATCCAACTCTTTACGACCCAATGGACTGCAGCACCCCCAGGCTTCCCTACTCTTCACTATCTCCTGGAACTTGATCAAATTCATGTTCATTGAATTGATGATGCCATTCAACTATCTAATCTTCTGTTGTCTCCTTCTCTTCCTGCCTTGAATCTTTCCAAGCATCAGGGTCTTGTCCAATGAGTCGACTCTTAGCATCAGGTGGTCAAAGTACTGGAGCTTCAGCTTCAGCATCAGTCCTTCCAGGGAATATTCAAGGTTGATTTCCTTTAGAATTGACTGGTTTGATCTCAGTGCTGCCCAAGGGACTCTCAAGAGTCTTCTCCAGCACCACAGTTTGAAAGCATCAATTCTTTGGTGCTCAAGCTTCTTTATGGTCCAACTGTCTATCTCATACATGATCAATAGAAAAAACATGGCTTTCACCATATGGGCTTTTTTTTGCAAAGAGATGCCTCTGCTTTTCAATACACTGTCTAGGTTTGTCATTGCTTTTTTTTTTCCAAGGAGCAAGCATCTTTTAATTTTATGGCTGCAGTCCTTATTCACAGTAATTTTGGAAACCAAGAAAATAGTCTGTCATTGTTGCCATTTTCCCCCATCTATTTGCCATGCTAGTGATGGGACTGGATAACGTGATATTCGTTTTTTGAATGTTGAGTTTTAAGCCAGCTTTTTCACTCTCCTCTTTCACCTTCATCAAGAGGCTCTTTAGTTCCTCTGCACTTTCTGCCATTAGGGTGGTATCATCTGCATATCTGAGGTTAGGTTACTGATATTTCTCCTGGCAATCTTGATTCCAGCTTGAGCTTTATCAAGCCAGGCAATTTTCATGATGTACTCTGCATGTAAGTTAAATAAGGAATGTGAAAATATACAGCCTTGATGTACTCCTTTCCCAATTTGGACGAGTCCATTGTTCCATGTCCGGTTCTAACTGTTGCTTCATACAGGTTTCCTAGGAGGCAGTTATGGTGCCTCTTGCCTTCTCCTGTTTGACCACTTCCAATTTACTTTGATTCACGGACTTAACATTCCAGGTTACTATGCCATATTGTTCTTTACAGCATCTTTTTCTTTCTTCACAATTTCGTGAAGATTCATTCTTACAGTAGATCCTAGCAACCTCAGCATACAAGCTTTTTTTTCTTTCCTTAATAAGAACTTTCACCTTTTCACTTTACAGTTTTTTCAGCATATCCAAATTGCCAGCACCACTATTTTTGTGCTTTGGAACAATTATTAAATAAAATGAGTTACTTGAACTCAAGCCCTGTGATACTAAAACAGTCAACCTGATAACAAGAGATACTACTAAGTGACTTATGGGTGGGGTATGCTGGACAAAGTGATGATTCACCTCAGGCAGGATGGAATGGGATGGCACCAGATTTCATTACTCTACTCAGAATGGTGCATAATTTAAAACTTATGAATTGCTTATTTCTGGAGTTTTCCATTTAATGTCTTTGAACAATCATTAAATGAAAATGTGCATCATGAAAACAAATGAGGGGGAAATACCGTACATAGACTTTCTTCTATAAAATTTGGATTACATTATATGTTGTCCAAATCCTTTCTTTTCTCTTTTAGCATTATATTGTGAGCATTTCCCACATCTTAAAATTTTCAAGACTAATTTTTGTTGGCAAATCATATTTAATTAATTGTGATAACTATTTTCAGTCAGCATTTCAGTGTATCTTTTTTGCTATAAATGTTATTTTTTAAGTTTACTATATGTATTTAAAATTCATTTACAACTATTTCTCTATAAACTTTATCCAAACCTCTGGTGATACCTCTTTTTTCATCTGATAAATATCAGAATCTTTGAAAAGGAGATGGTAATAAGAACAGAAAGAGATGAGAGAAAATGGAAATAATGATAAGAAATAGCCACTAGAGCTGCTATAATGTGAAAGTTGTTATTAACCATCTGTGGCCTTGAATGAATGTGTAATGATAACGGCAATATTTGTAATACTGGAATTTTTAAAATAATTTCATTTTTTCTCTAAAAAAATACATTTGGCATCTTCAAAAAGTAATATATCTGTTGTTAATGTCTTCACACTAAGAAAAAGCCTATTTGGAGTATTTATTTGTTAATTGTTATCAATCCTCTTTACTCTCATTCCCTATCTTCCTGAAGCCACGGGAATAAAGAAGAGTTCTCCTGCAGAGGAATACAACTTGCTGTGGATTGGTTCCTAGATAAAGGCCATAAAGATATTACTGTATTTGTGCCTGCATGGAGAAAGGAGCAATCCCGCCCTGATGCACCAATTACAGGTACTAATTAAATTAAAACATTTCTTCTCATCCAGAAGCAAAGCTGGCAAGATAGTTTGCGGAGAGCCCAATGCTCCTAAATTAGATAAGTACTTTTCTAAATCTATTAAGTACACTTAAAATGTTTTTTATTAAGTGTATTTTAAAGCAGATTTTTCCTGATCCAAATAATCTGTTGTACTGTGGCACAGAGTAGTTAAATAGAGATTTCAATTTCAAGCAAAAAATAAAGCACATAGTTGAAAAAAGAGTGCTTGTTTCTATTTGACCATAAGCTTCAGACAAAAAGGGAGATGAATCTGGTTACAAACATGACTGAGTTTTCCAAAATACTAAAGAAACCACCATAGACAATGGGCCTCATCCTGTAGCAGATAAGTTATTGTGGGATTTGCAAACTAGGGGTTAGAATAGAAAAAGAGAAAAGTCCCATGGCATTCAGAGCTAATTTATCCATGAAAGACAGTAGGCCGAGTACCTAGGGTTCATAATATATACTTTTAGGATCCCATGTAAATGGTTTAATTTTATAAGCTTTTTAACATCAGAGGGTAAAATTGAATATAACAATAAATATATAATAATGTACCTAACTGGATTATTTATGCTTATACCAACATAATTGTAAAGTATAAACTTAACATTTATTTATGGAAGAAAAGACCCATGAAGGCAAAAGTGCCTAAAGACCACAAAAGTTATGATGTGGCCCTATTGGCAGGAGGATCACTACATTCACTTATAATATTATATAAAGCTAGCTCTTAATGGCATTTGAGAGCATCAATACCCCAATTCTCTGAGTATCAGGTCTTGCCTTATGTACAAAATGAAAAGGTTCAGTGAATGACTGAAGGTTCAGTGTCATGGGGTTGTCTGCCAACTGCTGGACAGGCTCCCAGCCTCAGTCTGAGAGTGGATCCTGGCCCTACTCAAACTTCTTTCTTCATTAATAAAGAGGCTAAAAGGAAAGGGGGTTAGTACTCATATGCTACCACTTAATATTTTTCCTTAGTCGTGGCTTTCTTTCAGGCAGAAGGCAAAAATGTTAGTCCCTAAGAAAGATACTTTATTCTCATCCTGGCAGACACAGCCTCATCATACTTCCCTGGTTTCTTCAGCAACCAAACCTGGTGCTGCAGCCAAAGGGCAAAATAAGCCTCAAAAATGTTAGGATATCAATGTTATTTCTTACTCTTCATGCTGGTTTTTAAAAACTTAGATGTCATTTAATCTATTTCCTTTATTTTATCGGAAAGAAAACTGGAGTGGAAAGGGGAAAGCAACTTGACTAAAATCACAGTCCAAATTGGTGCCATAGCCAGGAATAGTGGCCACATTCTCTCTAAGAGCAAATAATATATTAATCTAGTACCAACTTTTATATTTTTAATATGGGAATAACGCTGTTAATTTCCAAAGATGATTTCTATTCTGTATCATATAATCCATATTTCAACAGATCAAGATATCCTACGTAAACTGGAGAAGGAAAAGATTCTTGTCTTCACACCTTCCCGAAGGGTCCAGGGCAGGAGAGTTGTTTGCTATGATGACCGGTTCATAGTCAAACTGGCTTTTGATTCTGATGGCATCATTGTATCCAATGATAACTACCGAGATCTTCAAATTGAAAAGCCAGAATGGAAGAAGTTTATAGAAGAGCGCTTGCTGATGTATTCTTTTGTGAATGACAAGTACGTTTCTTTCCTATAGGTTCTGAATAGCCTAAATCCAAATTACCACTAAGGATAGATTTAATTCCATTTCAATAAACGTTTACTGAACACTCACTGTATATTGTGCATTATGCTGGTTGCCATGGGAATAAAAGGCTGAATAAGTAACAAGACTCACCCTTAAGAAGCTCAAAGTGTACATAGAAAAGTGATTTCCACAATGTGTTAGGATAAACTCTATGGTTAGCATTTTTTTTAATTGCTTTGTCTATGTGAAATAATATGAAAAAGACTCACAGAGGAAATAGCATTTGAAATGAAGTTTACAGACAGAGGAAAGAGGGCTTCTGGGCATTATAGGTAAAGAGAACATCATGAATAAAGCTATAAAGATGTGAAAATGGGTTGCATGTTGGGGGAACTGGCAGACATGTCAGTGTGGTTGAAACTTATATCCACAGAAGAATGATGTATGGGAAAAATCATTCCTTTCTTGTGTTTAAGTGGAAACAGAGGGAAGAACTGCTGACTTAGCAGAAGATAGACTTGCGGCAGAAAGGGCTATTAGAAGGCTATGGCAATAGTATAAGCAACATGTAATGAAGGCCTGAACTCCTGATAAGGGATAGTTTACCTCTTGCTTGCTTGATTTCAGATTTATGCCTCCAGATGATCCTTTAGGACGTCATGGCCCAAGCCTTGAAAACTTCTTAAGAAAGAGACCTGTTGTTCCTGAACACAAGAAGCAACCATGTCCTTATGGTGAGTACCTATGTGCAAAACTGAAGAAGTCTGAATACTTTTCTCTTCAAGGTTTCCCTTTCAAAGGGAAAATCCTGGTTTGTCCACTCTCTGTAAGTTAAAGTCTGTGTCTTCATATATTTTCAATTAGGCATTTAAAGAACCATCCTAGAAATTTCTTGAGAAACAGGTAACTAGAATTGAAGGAAAAAATAATTGTCACTAGTTAAAATGATTCATGTGTTCTAACTGTCTCTGTCCTGAGCAGTGTTGTTGGGGGCAGGGAAGTGCAGAAACTTACTTGATCTGTGGAAGAAGAAAGGGCAATGACAAACTGCGTTTGGCCCCAAGAAGGATGTGTCTTTCAGGCAGGTGACTGCACCCTCTGTCAATATTACCCTTTTCTTCCAATCTGCATTTTCCATTTTGCTTCCAAACTTTATCTTCATTTCCTATTTTAAATATAGTTTTCTATACCCATGACTGAATCATGTCAATGTATGGCAAAAACCACTACAATATTGTAAAGTAATTAGTCTCCAATTAAAATAAATAAATTGATTTAAAATAAAATAAATAAATAAATATAGTTTTCTAGAGTGCTTTCATGATCTTACCCAAGTCCCTGTGACACAAAGTTTGTGAGCCTAACAGTAAGACATATACTGCCTTGTCTGAGGCAAATGTAAATGTTCACTGTTTTTGAATAATCATTTATTTATAAGACATCTAAGGTGTTTGTTCTCAACTATCATTTATTCATATCATAGAGTATTTCATGTTCACTATCTTCATTTAATCCTCACAATGACCTTATAATAAAGGCATTATTATAAACCTTGTTTACAGAATAGGAAAATGAGGCACAGAAAATAAAAATCACTTAGCAAGGTCACATGGCTAGTAAGTGACATAGCTGGAATTAAAGCTCAGATCTGACCAGCCTCCAGGCCAGTGCTCTTTGCACTGAACCACCCTGCCTGCTACTGCTCTACACTGCCTCAGCATGCAGGCTATGCCTAGACAAAGTTGTGAATTTCAGGAAAATGAAGGCTGTTCAGTGACAACTCTTACCTTTCACACTGCAGTTTCCTTCCTAGGTTTCCACTTCTTCCCTCTCTGCTCACAGTGTGTGGTGCCACCATGGTGTTGTCTGTCTCCCGTCTTTAAGAACAGTTAATTTTGTCTTATATCCCAAAAGTAAAACTCTAACCTGAGTGACCAGATTGTTAAAACAGCCTCTGGCACAGAGAGTTGCACCACTATGAGAGAGTCTTACCCCAGGGCATTATTTTTCAGGCAAAAAATGCACCTACGGCCACAAGTGCAAATACTACCATCCGGAGCGGGCCAACCAACCGCAGCGTTCGGTGGCTGATGAGCTCCGCATCAGTGCCAAACTGTCCACAGTAAAAACCATGAGTGAAGGCACCCTGGCCAAGTGTGGCACAGGGCTGTCTAGTGCCAAAGGTGACATAACCTCAGAAGTCAAACGTGTGACCCCCAAGCGTCAATCGGATCCCAGCATCCGGTCCGTGGCTGTGGAGCCTGAGGAATGGCTGTCCATTGCCCGTAAGCCTGAGGCCAGCTCTGTCCCCTCACTTGTGACTGCTTTAAGTGTCCCCACAATCCCACCCCCCAAAAGCCATGCAGTGGGTGCCCTCAACACCCGTTCAGCCAGCAGCCCAGTGCCAGGATCCTCTCATTTCTCCCACCAGAAGTCCTCATTGGAGCACATGACCAGCATGCAGTACCCGCCCATCCTGGTTACCAATAGCCATGGGACCCCTATTAGCTATGCTGAGCAATACCCAAAGTTTGAGCCCTTAGGGGACCACAGCTACTATTCAGTGTTAGGCGACTTCTCCAAACTGAACATCAACAGCATGCATAATCGAGAGTACTACATGGCTGAAGCAGACCGGGGGTTGTATGCCCGGAATCCCAACCTCTGTCCTGACAATCGTATGAGCCATTCCAGGAACGACAACTATTCCTCTTACAACAACCTGTATTTGGCTGTAGCTGATACTCATCCTGAAGGCAGTTTGAAGCTGCATCGCTCAGCATCTCAGAACCATCTTCAGCCTTTTCCTCATGGTTACCATGAAGCCTTAACGCGAGTGCAGAGCTATGGCCCAGAAGACTCTAAGCAAGCCCCCCACAAGCAATCAGTCTCCCACTTAGTTCTGCATGCCCAGCACCCAACAACTGGAGCACGCTCCAGCTGTCCTGGAGACTATCCCATGCCTCCCAATATCCATCCTGGGGCAACCCCCCAGCCAGGACGTGCCCTGGTGATGACTCGGATGGACAGCATTTCTGATTCTCGCCTATATGAGAACAATCCCATGAGGCAAAGACGTCCTCCTCTGTGTCGGGAACAGCATGCCAGCTGGGACCCACTGCCCTGTGCAACTGACTCTTATGGCTACCACTCCTATCCCTTGAGTAACAGCCTCATGCAACCATGCTATGAACCAGTCATGGTACGGAGTGTACCTGAAAAGATGGAGCAGCTTTGGATGAATCCTTGGGTTGGAATGTGCAATGATTCCAGGGAGCAAATGATCCCAGAGCACCAGTATCAGACCTACAAGAACCTCTGCAATATTTTCCCTTCAAACATTGTTCTTGCAGTGATGGAGAAGAATCCCCACACAGCAGATGCCCAGCAACTAGCAGCCTTGATTGTTTCTAAGCTTAGGGCTGCACGTTGACATGACATAGGACTTATTTCTTTATATAAATATGAATACCTATAATGCACTAATACTATGATAACAGTAACTAATAATTTTGTGTTACACTTTACAAGTTACAGACTGTTTATGTTATTGAAGTGCATAACAACCCTGTGAGGAAAGTCTTACTAATGTCTTGTTTTCTAGACAAGGAAACTGAAGCTCAGTGAGTTTAAAAGTGACTTGCTGAAGTCACACTGCTAGCAAGTGACCAAGTCAAGACTCACACCCAAGTCCTCTGACTCCAAGTCCTATACCCTTTTGCACTGCATCATGCAGGTAATGGAGGACAAAACCCAGGGGAAAGGCCTAAATGCAAGAGACCCCAAGGGATGCCATTACCAACTGTTTTCTTAGTCACACATTCTATATTATGAAGTATCAATGACATATCTAATTTAGAGAGCAAGAGTATCAGGATCAATCCATATGTTGAATTAACCATTTAGGATTTTTAATAAGAATATTTAAAACCTATTTAAAAGTAAACATATACTTTACTGCATGGATATCTGACCATTCAATACATTTATTAACTGAGATATAGGGTCACATTGAAGTTTCTAGAGCTACATTTCAAACTTATTGTTAGCAATTATATTGCATGTATGACTGTATGTATTTAGTTTGAGGTGTGTGTGTATGTGTATCTCTATATAACCTTTTGTATAATGGTGATAAAAAGACAGACTTTGCACAGTCCTTAGTCTACAGCTGTATAGATCACAAATCTGACTTGATTTTACATCATATTTCATAGTTTCAACTAGTTTTGAAAGTGAAACTACATCCCAATATTTGAATATTGCTTTCTTAGGCACCAGAGCAAACTGGCTCTATTTCCTTTGCACTTTTTACTTCTCAACATTTATTGAGAGTTCTTCACTTTTAAGTCTCTTCACCTTAGTAAATTAGGGATCAGATTGAAGCCTTCTTCTGCAGAAGAGGTGATGGATAGTTCCAAGTTGATACTCTCAAGTTCCAAGCATAGTAGTTGCGTGTGCTAGACAAGCACAGAAGAGTTGGACCAGAACCAAGGGATTTACTACCAGAATTTGCTTCCCTTAATCCCAGGAGAGATGGCCAAACTCATCTGGCATTAAATGATGAACACAAAAAACTGCATTCAAGGGGGTCCAATGGATGCTCTTTGGACTTCTGACCTATGCAGTATTCAGCATCACAGGATGAAATGCATTGAAGGATAGTGCACCGTCATGTAATCCACTTTCTCCTGCCATCTAACCTTTGGGCAATAAGGTCGATCATTGGTGGAGCAGAACTTCTTTAAGAAACACAATCGGGGGATTTTCTAGGTAGAAAAAGCTTCCAAAAGGGGATACTACATCTTTGCTAATAACTGGCTCAGTTACATACTTCAAATGCATGCAGAGGGTGCACTTGACCTTAGGCGATTCTTAAATGGATTACTAAGGAAGGCAGGACTTTGGGTTGACAGAACTATATGGGCAACTTGTATCTCGCTCAGGGTGGGAACCTTTGTAGCTAAATGCCTCTAGAAGAGGTGTTTATTGTTTTTGTTTTTTTAAACAGCTGCACTAAATAAATCCCTTTTTGAATCCATTGTATATTGCAACATTTTGAACCATGACCAGCTCACTATTTCTTGAGCTGGAACTTGCTAATTTCTATGGTAGTTTTTTTTTCATGAAAGTTGAGAAGGCCTGGTCTTGGCCTTTTGTTTCTTCATGAGAAGGTGTGACACTGCCTATAAATGTTTCTTACTGTGAAACACTCCGAATGTGAGACTGTAGTCAGGGTTATTTCTGGTGGTTTGATAACGGCTTGCATGCTGCTTTCTGGCTTTCTGTCTCTGTCCTGGTTGATCAAAACTTCCTCTTGGTGTTTCTCTTCAGTTTACTACAGTTCACATTCATCTCCTACCCTTTGATCTTTCTATCTCCCAGCATACTGAGGAGTAAAAGTATTTTCTCCCAGGTAGGTCCATAGAGTGAAGTGCTTGCCGTTTCACACAAACACCATTTCATACCTTCAACTTCTTGGACCTTCTAAATCTGTCCCATGTCTAAGTCAGGGTACGTGACAATCTTAGATGACTCTACTGCCTTTGTGCCAGTTAGTTCAACTTCCTAAAAAAAAAACATCAATGGTACCACAGTATCCACTAGCTGCACACTGTACAGGGAAGCACAAGATTAATCTTCTCAGCTGCAGTTCATCTGGAACATATTTATGTTCAGCACTCAAAAAAAAATTCTAAGCTCCTCCCAATACAGGAAATATTTTTTAAGGCAGCATATGTATTTATTTCCTAAAAACAATTGTCATTCTTCTCATAAAATGTGTATGAATCAAAGCAGCTAGGAGCAATGCCTCAAATAACCAGAAATGACCTTCTGTTGATACAAATTGTATCTCTTTTTCTCCTGACTGTATAGAAACAAATGTACAAAACTCATCTTAAACTACGTTTGGTACTGACTTTTCATTATTATGTTTGTGGCACTGTGTGTCACAAGGGAGTAGCCCAGGATCATGAGGGAGCTTTTATTTACAAAGGGCAGTAGTTTATAGACAAAGACAATTTTTCAAGGCCTCTTGATTACTATGTGCAAGATATTGTGCATAGTTTCAAGCACTATATGGCATAAGTTTCTCTTTAGCCAATTACATTTAATATGTCCTTGCAAAAGATTTTGTGTACAAAGTTGTCAGTGTGAATTGTTCATCTGTAAGAACCTATAAATGGAGCTGTACAACTATGAATGCATAAATTGAGCTTGTTTATATTGAGGTCTGCACACTTCTTGACTGACTGTTCCATTTTGTCTGCAATTATAAAACAGCAAATACAAAGAAACATCGAAACCCCTTTGGCTTCCTTGATAATGAAATCAAGCTTCCATCCTGGGGATAAGTGTGTGTTCTTCAGGATACTTACCTCCAAGTACTAAGTAGGGGTTACTGCACAGTGTTTTGTGTGGTTTTCAAGAAGTATATTTTGCAAGAGGTGCTTTGTAATTTTAATTCTTTCACTGAGATTCTGGACTTATAGCAAGTCTGTGCTTGTTCAGGCCTTAGATTTTGTAGATTTTGTGATTTTTTTTTCTTTTTGTGACTTTGTTGTTTGTTTTATTGTTATTTTTATTTCAACCTGAAGAAGTGTGACTCTGGAGTGGCATAGTCAATCCAGGGCACCATTTCTGTAAGATGGCTCAAAGGAAAAGGAGCCTTTTCAAAGGTAACATACAGCCATTGCATGCTCTCTTAAGGTGCAAGAAATGGAAGGGGGGGGGGTGACACATGCCTTATGGAAATGGTATACAAAACTTTTCTTCTAAGTAATGAAATGTGGAGATATATATATATATATATACACACTCTCTCTCTCCTAGTTTCCAGGAGAATACTTCTAAATCCATTTTTTCTATTTTAGAATAAATTATCTTTATACAGTAATTCAAACACTTACATCCATTAACTCTTGGCACTAGGTTTTCTTCTTATATAGAAGAGCTCATTTTGAGAGGCACTCAGTTACTGTTTTATGTATGCTTTAAGTATGGGACTTTGTATAAACACCCTTTTTGAGGGCCAACAATTTCAATACACTTTGTTTAACTCTGGGAACCAGGTCTGGAGCTGCACAGGGAAAGTAATGTCAAGTTGTCCAAAGAGCCCTGCTCAGGTGTCCTTCCAGCCCTTCTCTACCTTCCCCTAGTTGGTTTCTCCTCAGGCCTGACACTGAGGTGTGCATAATCTGCAACTAAAATGGCACTACACTTAGTTCTCATTGGAAATCAAACCAGTATATTTTGGGAACTTGCTTGTCTAAATAGTTGATGCCAAAAGACTCAGCATATTCCATACCTATCATAGTGTAGCTAGCTATATACATAGGCAGATTGACTACTTTTAGTCCTGGTTTGCGTTATCATTGAGCTATAGAAGTTTGCTTTACCCATTTGTGGGATTAAATGATACTGTATAATGGCTGTAAGCTTTTATAAAATATCTTTGGGTTCTTTGTTTGACCCAAACATAATGTAAGTCTTAATGACAAAGTGCACAAAGCTAACCAGAGGTGAGTGAAAATATATCCTGTTCCCAGTTTTGTCTACACCTGAAATGCATGTGCAATGCTTTGCAATATGTTCTCACGAGCATGAATGTGCTGACTACTTCATGAGGTTTTGTTTCACTTATAATCATGATGGAAAATGCTGTATCCTTGACAACAATGAACTGTAACTACATTTAATTACTGCATAAACTTTTTGTTTACTAACCACTAATGGCTCTGTTTCTTTACAAATATCACTAACAAAAGCCATACTGCACCTACAAATACACTCAGCTCCTAAAAATTTAGATTTCTGTCCATGGATTTGCATCTTGAGATAAGGAATAAGAGGAGGGATCTCCCCAAATGAGTTCATCTGAGTTTTGTCACAGTAAACATTGTCTTTGTTTAGCTGCTAAGTCATATCTGACTCTTTTGTGACCCCATGGACTGTAGCCTGCCAGGCTCCTCTGTCCATGGGATTCTCCAGGCAACAATACTGGAATGCGTTGCCATTTCCTTCTCCAGGGGATCTTCCCGACCCAGGGAGTGAACCTGCGTCTCCTGCATTGGCAAGCAGGTTCTTTACCACTGAGCCACCAGGGAAGTCCTCACAGTAAATATATGCCCTCTACTTTTTGTTAAATACTAACACAGCTGTAAGTGCAAATCAATTGGCTTTTCCAACAGGGCTGGGCTGGACCAGGCCTCAAACTGGTGGATTAGAACCTGGTGGAGAGATAAGGGCTCAGGCTTATTTCTCTAAACGACCTACTGTTTCCCCACTGAATAGCCTCAGGTCCACAGAGACATCATCTGCTGAACCTTAGCCAGAATATCAGAACCAGGAGCAGCCTAGATAACCCTATAGTTCATAGAGAAGTCACGTGGGGACTGTGGGGAGTGCTCAGCTGCATGGACTCCATCAAGG